CTCCTCGAAGTTCCTCTGAATCTCTTCCTTTCTTTACAGCACACAGAATTCCGCTTTGAAGCGGCAAGGAGAAAAAAAATCTCTCAATTTCCCTCCACTCTTACAATCTCTCAAAGAATTCCTCACACTTTTTACACTCTAGCAAACACTAATGGAACCTTTCTAACCTCCAAGAACTCTAGAGTCTTCTCAATTTTCAGCCAAAATCTTCTTTTAAAATTGTGGACGAGCTTTTCCAAGAGTTGCCTAAGCATCCCTTCAAAATTTATCCTTATCCAAAGTCTGATTGGTCATAACCGTCGAGCTCGCCGTCGACGGCCTCGAGGGCACCGTCGGCGGACTTTCTTAATGAATTAATTCTGGAGTCTCAGGAAAATCTCGCTGTCGGCGGGGGGGGCGGGGTCGATGGCGCCCGTCGGCGCCCTAGTTCAATTCTTCACATTTGATCATTTTTTGCTCCAAATTCGCTCCTTTTTGCATCTTTTTGCTCCAATGACCCTAATTCATCATTTCTGCAACAAAACATCAAAAATATCTTTCTTTAAAGTGCAATATCATCAAAATAATTCTTTAAAGTGCAATATCATCAAAAACAGTATAAAATAGGTATGAAAATCTCAATATATTTTCTTCTGGTCAACTTGCAGACGCGATTTCAACATAAGAAGCTATTGTATTTCAGTTTACTTGTATGAGCGCTATTCAAATCTACGACGAGCGTACGCTCTCGCGATACGGACATGTGAATCAATAGATGAAATTTCAACGTACAGGCGTTTTTCGTGTTGTGTTCGAAAACATTTTTGGGAGTGATGGAAACAAAAAAAAAAAGTGGATAATTTAGAGAAAAATTTAGAGAAAGTGATGAGTCAAATCAAATTTGGGATGGAGGAAAGATTCTCCATCATGGAAGGAGGATTTTTATCCATGGAAAACTGATTTGAGGGATGATTTGAGAGCTTTGAAAGAGAAGCTGAGAAAGCTTGTTGAGATGCAATCTAATACCCCGCCGACAGTTCAGTTTTCAAACACTAATTAAGGGTTGACCAAAAATTCATTAGCTAAATCGAAAGAGAAAGATAACGGACTAGAGGAACACGAGGAAAGCATCCATCAACAAGAACCTTCTCCTCAAGCTCCAATTGGGGGTGCATTAGAAATTCTTGATGGAGGCGGTTGGTCTGAAACATAGAGAAAGAATTATACAGGACGTACGAAGAAGCACAAAGAAGAAAGAAGATAATTTAGAAGGAGATTTAGCTATGATAGAAGAAGAGAGTTTTACCCTCGATACCTAAGGAAAAATAGCGGAGGAAGAGGAAGTTGAGATGATGATGCCAAGGTTAAGAAATTAAAAATGCCGATCTTTGAGAGGAAAAACGCACATAGGTGGGTCTATCGGGTGGAGCGATACCTCGTGGTGAATGGACTAGATAGGGAGAAGAAACTCATGGCGGCAGGGTTATGTTTGGAGAGGGAAAG